AATGAGTCTGCGAGCTGGGTGCCATTAGCCGCTCCATTTTATAGAGGAGAAAACCGAGGCTCGACGTGGCCAAGCCAAAGCTCGCACCCAGTAGGCCGACTCTTTTGAGTCCTCACCAGATGACCGCCTGAATCGAATCAGATCAAGAGGCGTGACCGCAGCACAAGTTGCTTTTGAAACCGTCAAACCCGAAGCCAATCCCGTGGTGGTGGTCGTTATCATCGTAAAGGTTTAGACACCCTGAGTCCGGTTATAAGGCCCAAAATGTTCCTTTAGGGACTGATCTTGGTCTTTAAAATACGATCAGGGCAGGGGCGCCTGGGTGGCTCAGTCGGTTAAGGGTCCAACTTCGGCTCAGGTCATGATCTCACGGTTTGTGGGGTCGAGCCCTGCGTCAAGCCCCACGTCGAGCTCTGTGCTGACAGCTAGCTCAGAGTCTGGAGCCTGTCTTCGGATTCTGTGTCTCCCTCTCTCTCTCTGTCCCTCCTGTGCTTGCTCTCCCTCTCTCTCTCTCTCCCTCTCTCTCTCAAAAATAAATACAACATAAAAAAAACTAAAAAAAAAAAAAAAGATCAGGACCCTCAAAATAAATTACGGAAGCCAGGCGCACTGGGAGGAGATCATCATTTTAATAAAAAAAAATCCTGATTAATGGAAATGATTCTTAATATATTTCAAAATGATCTGTTATGACACAAAGCAAAGACATTTATATATGACTTTGAAATTCTTAATAGCTGATTTTAGAGCAACCTATTATGAAATCTTCTAAAGCAGAATATATAGTAAGTAAATCATCGGGCAGGGCCTCCCGGGCTGACTGACGGCAGCTCCTCTTAAAATAATTTATAAGGTGTGGGGGGGGGGGAGGGAGGGAGGAAGGCTGGGAGAAATTATTGCCATAATCATGTATTAATAAAATATTTATAAATGTGACTTTTCCTTTTATCATTACAGGCAGCAACAGGTGTGGGTCAGGTCCCCAGGGCCCACATCAGAGGGGGGATCCCACATGCCCCCAGAAGAGAAATTCCACCACCAAACTCCTCTGGTGACAGGTCAACAGATCAGAGGTCTCTGTCAGCCTCTGTTTTGTCACACTGAAGGCAGAGAGGGCTGACGTTGACTGTGGAAATCGGGAGGCAGGTCCCACCTGTTTGCAGGGCTTATAGAGTGCCTTGGTGGGAGCGATCCTGTGTCAGCTAAGTGCAGCCAAGAGGCAACCGGCTGGGCCACCTTGGGAGGGTCACCTAGGCTGGGATCAACAACAAAATCCTAGACTTGCCTTTTACTGAAGGATTGCCTCGAGCTGGCTGCTACTGAGGACCTGTGCACCAGCCCTTGCCCCGGTCATCCCATACCTCCTATCCCATACATGTCCCTGGTCTGTCACTGCAGCACCTGACTGTGCCTCTCTGCTGTCGCTGGCTGCAGGCACATGCTTCGCTCAAGCCCAGCACAGGCTGGAAGGGCAGGTGTTCATGCAACCTCCAACCACGGAGAAGCAGGAGGTAGTGGGTAAATATTCCAGCTCCTTTGTCTCCAGGCAATACCACTGGGAGCCATGGTCCTCAGAGTCGCCCAGAGGTTCCCAGTGAAACTGGTTCCAGTTGCCCACAGGTGACGTGCTCGTTAAAGCACATAGTATCACTATCACCCATCTTCCCTTCCCTGTCTCCCTCCCCTACGGGTGATCCCCTCCCAGAAGAGCCACGTGCACCCAAATCTTTGTCTCAGCGTCTGCTTTGTGGAACCCAGCCCCGTTCAGCTTCCTCTTCCAAATCCCGTTTAATCCACGCATCAATCCCATGTTCTGCCCATCAAAGAGGAGACCACCAAAGCTCAGACAAGTCTGGTTCTTGATCCTGGTTAATTGCACCAAGAGCCTCGGTTTTCCGTTCTGTACAATAGGCTTGCTTCCTTTGGCTCTTCCCCAACCACAGGCGCCCCGACTCTGAACCTTCAGGGCTTTCCTGGTCTGACCTCTGCAATCCCTCCCTCAGCCCAACCTGTTCACAAAGCTGGTCCCAGTTTGGAAGTCTCGTGTCTCCTAATAAGATGATAAATTCTCAAGACGGGACAGTAGTCTCACAGCCCCCCGCATCCCTCCCCCTGCCAAGCCCGGGCACAGGGTAGACGTTGGCTCATCTCAGGGACTGGGATGTATTGTGGGCTGAATTACGTCCTCCCCAAATTCGTATGTTAAAGTACTAATGCCCGGTACTTTAAATTGTGACTGTATTTGTTGACTGAGGCTTTAACGAGATAATTAAGGTAACATGAGGTCGTCTGGGTGGGCCCTGATCCAGTGTGATTGGTGTCCTACAAGAAGAGGAGATCAGGACACAGACAGACCCATGAATGGAGGGCAGGCCATGTGAGGATGCGGCAGGAAGGCAGCCCTCTCTTAGCACAGGAGAGAAGCCTCAGGAGAAACCAACCCTGCTGGCACCTTGACCTTGAACCTGAGCTTCTAGCCTCCAGAACCGTCAGGAAACAAGCTCCCAAGATTAAGAACCTGTAATCTGGCCCGACCGCAGAATTTCACATCTGACAAAACGGTGACCAGAGAGAGACAGGGGAACTTGTTCAAGGTCACACGTCCGGTTGAGGGCAGAGCCAGTTTCCTAACATCCTCTCTCTGGCTTGGCTTGGGTCTAAAGAGGACCGAGGAGTTTTCTCACAGCATAAACAGGCCCTGCAGAGGCACGAAGATCCCCCCTTGCTATGACGTTCCATGACGAGGGGCCAGCTTTTTCTGTAAAGGGCTGTATAACAATTAGTTGGAGCTTTGCAGGCCACACAATCTTTGCCTCAACTACTCAACTCTGCCACTGTGGCAGGAACGCAGCCACGGGCATGTGAATGAAGGGGCGCGACCATGTTCCAATAAAACTTTAATTACGGATACTATCATTTCAACGCCATACAATTCGCACACATCCTGGAGCCCCTGGGTGGCTCAGTCGGTTAAACAGCTGACTCTTGGCTTCAGCTCAGGTCATGACCTCACAGTTCGTGAGTTCAAGCCCCACATCGGGCTCCACACTGACTGTGTGAAGCCTGCTTCGGATTCTCTGACTCCCTCTCTCTCTGTCCCCTCCCCTGCTTGCTCTCTCTCTCTCTCTCTCTCACAAAATAAATAGTAAACATTAAAAAAAGAAATGTTCATACATCCCCAAATATTACACATAGATAGATAGATCTTCATCTAATTGAAATACAAAAACCATTTTTAGCCTGCTGTTATCCAGAAACACAGCCAACTGGATTTAGCCCACAAGCTATGCTTTGCTGACCCTCGGGATGACAGAGTCAGATGCAGAGGTGGGGATTTTACCAGATGATTAGAGCTTTGCAGGAAAAGAAATGCAGCCCAGGTCAGAGATGGATGGGACCACGTTCTCACACCATGGTGTGCGTGACTCAGGCTGGTCCCAGTGGCTAGGAGGCTGGGACACATTACAGTCCCGTGGGCAAAAGGATGGTGGTGCCCCAATGGCCAAGGGGTCAAGCATGGCCCACGACTGAGTTTTGGAAAGGCGAGTGGCATTTGATTTTTCACCATGTCTGTCCTTGGTTTGGACTAACTGTGGAGTCCCCACCTTACTTATTTCTGACTCAGCATAACTCCTAGAAACTTCCAAAATCAAATCAGTGGGCCAAATATATGCAGCTCACGTGTATGAGAATCAACAGAATGAGCCCCAAGGCCCAGGAGTGTGGGGATGGCAGGAATGACATGCCAGAATATTCCAGAAGTCTGCTGCCCACAGACAAATGACCCAGAATGTCAGCCAGAGTCAGTACATAGCCCTCAGAGGACAGCCTTCAATTCACATGTATTCATTCAACAAGTAAATCCCAGCTCTATGTCCTGGGCCCCAAGGAAGTCACTCCCTACTAGAAAGAGCTAGACAAGGACACAATCACAATACAAGACACCATAATCCTCAAGAAGGCAGGAACCACACTGACCTTGATCCCTACTCTCCCCAGGACCTTTTACAGTGTCAAAAGAAATCAAAGAAATTGGTTAGGGAAGGGAGGAGCCTTGAATGCCAAGTCAACGAAGTTTACTTGATTTAGCAGGCAAGGGAGAAACTTGGGAGGATTCTAAGCAGGGGAATGGCACACAAAAGGCTTGTGGTTTTTTTTTAGAAAAGACTCCAAAGGTCACAATGAGGATGGACAGAGGGAGGAAGGTAGTCATTAGCAATGAGACTACTGCAATCATCCGAGCAACAATTAAAAAAAAAAGGAAAAGAAAAGAAAAAGACTGGCAAACAGAAGGAATAGAGAAACACAGACAGAAATGCTGTCACAGAGATCATCTACAGGGCAAGGTGAATAAAGATTGGCTAGGGAGGGGCAAGGGCCAGAGAGAAGACCAGAACCATCTTGGGGAAAAAAGGGGAAGTAAGAATGATCAGTAAACAGACCATTAAGAGCAGGGACAGACTCAGGAGGACAAGGATGGCTGGGTGAGCTTCACCACATATGGTGGGGAGCATCTCCAAGATGTCGAGATCGAAACACAGCACCTTTATTGCTTGGACCCAACTCTCTCTCAAATGTCCTAGACCTTCTGCGCTCAGGACACTGGCTGCTCGTCACATATAGCTATTTAAATTTATGTTAATTAAAATGTAATGCAATTAAAACTTTAATTCCTCAGGTGCACTAGCTGCATGTCAAGTCCTCAACAGCCACCCGCAGCGAGGGGCTGGGTCTGGACCGCACGGATGGAGAACATCTCCATCATCACGGAGAGCTCTGGGGGGCACCGCCGCCAGTCTACGAGGTTTGCTTAAAAAACCCAGACCTGTTTCCATCTCATGGCACCTGGTCCAGAGGCCTCCCAGACACATCCTCCCAGTCCCGGAGACACAGAGGATGACAGATTGATCCTGTCCCGCCTCATGGAGAGAAGGGGCTCGTCAGGCACCTGCCAAGGCAGACAGCTGGCAGTGCAGGTGAGCTCGGCAGGAAGGACTCACCTTTGCAGGCTCCCGCTGCGCCGAGGTGGTAGATGGCTGCCAGCACCCGCCAAATGGCTCGCTGCTCGCCCTGCGAGATGCCCAGTGTCTCCATGGCGCTCTGGAGATGGGCAAAGGCAGCTGCCGCCTTCTGCTTGTCTTCGGGCTGCGAGCAAAGGGAGAGAGGAAGAGGCCGTCAGGGTGGCGAGAATGCAAAGCTCAGACCTGGGGGGGCGGGGGTGGGGAACAATGCGGTCGCTTTGTAACCACAGTAAATTACCCACAATTAGGCTGTGGAGTGTTGACGCCCAGAGCTCAGACTGCAGGGAAAGTAAGTCGTTCCTATCTGTCTTTGGAATGCACTGTGATTCTCATTCACCCGTGGGTTCCCTGGGTAGAGTTTTTGAGGCTCTGCTGTGTGCGGGGCCCAGAGGACGCAAAGCCGAGGGAACCCCAGAACTTGACTTTGGAGGGCCTCTCGAGGTTAGCCGTGGAAAGAGACATAAAACTTAGTGTGACGCAGGCTAGGTGGCGGGGTCCGGGCAGAGGCAGGAAGGCGTCAATGAATCCCCCTCAAAATTGTCATAGAGTTTGTCCTAGAAGGCGAGACAACACTGAGGTTGAAGTTTGGAAGAGGCACAGGCGTCACTGACCGATTTAATGCAGTAAGTCCCTACAAGCAGAGGGAACAACGTGACCAAAGGAAATCTCGGGGGACAACAGGTGTTCAACTGAATGCAGGCACAGAAGCAGGTATTTTTGGAGGTGGGGCCGACAGAGAAGCGAGAAAGCTTGAGAAGCTGGCAGGTGCCACTTGGGATGGCCTCACGTATGATGTTAGAGGCTCTGGATTCCAGCCAAGCCTGGCAAATACACACGCCTGTCTATACTCCCGGACCTGTGGCAGACATCGTTAATCGATCGAGATGCCACAGCAAGCCAGCGAGTCCCCACTGTTTCCAGGACCCCACCCCCTGCAGCCGCCACCAACTGATCTGCCTTAACAACGAAGTGCAATCTGTATGCTCTCGCCAGGGCAAGGGATGGGAAACTGCCCAAGGTTTTTTAAGCAGGAGGAAAGAGAAAGTGACATGATCAGATGTTTATGGGTTGTAGGGTGTTGTTTTTTTCTTTTTCAGATTTATGATCCCAATTATGTTTGATTGAATATTAAAATTAGCCTGAAACTCCTGCGCGCACACACACACCATCTGGCCGAGGAGACTCAGCCCAGAAACCTGCTGGGTTGAGAGAAAGTGAGCTAGGGACAAGAATTCTTTTGTCACTAATCCACCGGCAGATAATGAGGAACTGATTTGCACTTGGCCCTCTTACAGAGCGTGGGTGATGAACTGTAGGCTGGTAAAGCTGGCAGGTTCTTAAATTTTGTGGAATCCAACGCCCAGAGAGGGGATAACACTTGCCCAAGGTCACACAGCAAATTAGCATCCGATACAGAACTAGGATCAGGCTTTTCTGACTCCCTGTCCAGGCCGCTTGTCCCCTCCACTCCAGCTACGTCTAACTAGCAAAGAAGGCTGCAAGAATCAGCAACCAACCGGGCGGACGTCAAAGCATGCAGTGACATTGAGAGATTCGCTGTGAAAATATTTCAATTAATAGCAAAAGCATGTTCCACTGATCCATCATATTTCTGGGCCACCACAGGACCACAAAATCCCTAGCAACCAGGAGCTCAACCTAGCAACCGCAGCTGCTCCACTGGAGCACACGGAGGGAAGGAAGGCATCTTACCAACATGTTCTCGGTTATTTATGAGATTTCAAAGCGGCACAGAAAGGACACCGAAAGGACAGTGGCAACACATTTATTATGGCTCCCACTGTCAGCTCTGAGCATTTGAATTTAAATTACAGGCGGACTCCATCATCTGCCACTTAGCTCATGCGAAAAGAAGGAGAAACTTTCCCCAAAGCTTAATCTGTTTCTCTTCCCCTCCCTCCCCACCGCCTCCCCCTCCACCGCCCACGTCTCTGTTGCAACAGAAAATAGAGAGAGGCAAATGTATATGTTTCTGATCCAAACAATTAGGATCAGGAAGATGTTTATAGTTGCTTAAATTTCCAGGGAGCCAAACACCTCTGCCTAATGCTGTCACGAAAGCCACCCCTTCCAGCAAGATCGTGAATGTGGAGATCAGCCCGCAGCCCAAATGTCTATCAACAGGAGACTGAATACACAAAGGGCAGTGTCGCAGGGAACAGCGGTGGAGTGCTATGAGGGAATGAAAAAGAACGAGCCACAGATCCGTGCATCCACGTGCACGAATCCCACAGACCACGTGAGCCAGAGAACCAAAGACTCCGCACTGTATGACTCCCTCTCCGTGAGGTTCAAGCATCAGCCGAGCCAACCTACAGTAAGAAAAGTCATTTTGGTAACGCTGGGACAGGAGGGACGCCCCTGATCGGGAAGAGACTCAAGGGAACCTTCGTCAGAAATGTTCCAGGTGTTGATCTGGGGTGTGGCTACGGGTGCATTTGAGAATATAGTCATCACTGGGGGGAACCTGGGTGGCTCAGTCGGTTAAGTGTCTGACTTCGGCTCAGGTTATGATCTCGCAGTGCGTGAGTTCGAGCCCCGCGTCACTGTAGAGCCTGCTTCGGATCCTCTGTCTCCCTCTCTCTCTCTGCCCCTCCCCTGCTCATTCTCTCTCTCTTTCTCTCGCTCTCTCAAATAAATAAACGACAAAAAAATAAAGAATATATTCATCACTGAGTTGGAGGCTTAAAATTAGTTGTCTCACCACAGTTAAAAAAAAAATTAATGGGAAAAAAAATCAACTCACAAGACGCCCAGGGTTTATCTGATGCAAAGACTCAAGGTCAACCAAAGACTGCAGGTAATTTAGTGGGGGAAAAAAAAATCCAAAATGTTCTCTCCACATTAGACTGGGCTGTGCTTAGAGCACCCAGGAGATCCCTACAGTGCAGAGAGAGAGAGGCCAGGTTTGGATTTGGAGTCAGACAGAACTGGACATTTCCATGACTCAATGCTCCCCAGCAGGGTGACTTTGTACAGATCTCCTGCCCTTGCACTGGGGCTCAGTTTCTGCCTCTGTAGAACGGAAATCGTAGCCTACCTTCCTCTGAGGGCCATTGTGAGGAATGAATGAGTCGTGTACGGAGCACCCAGCCCTGCATGCAATGGTGCCAAATAAATGCTGGTTCCCACACACCACTGCGTCTCTCTGGCAGACTGTTCCGCTTTCCGGGACACCTTTCCCTGCCACTGCCCAAGTGCATGCCCAACACTCCACGGAAAGTGAACCAGGCGTGGCGCTGTCCTGGAGACAGGGGTGAGGGGGAGTGGGCTGGGAGACTCTGGGGAGGGTCAGAGGCTTCCAGAAAGTAGTGGTGCGTGAAGCAAACAGAATGAGTAAGGTGATGTGAGTACTGGGGTGGGGCAGGAGGAATTCCAAGCCTCCAGTCCTAGGAGCAGACCAAGAAGCTGGGTATGGCTCTGCCCATTCCACAGTTGCAAAACCCGAGGCTGAGAGGACATAAATGACCCAGGAGGGCACAGCGGGTCAGAACCCAGGGCACAGGATCTTCAGCCACGACACAGGGTTGACATTCACAAGCTGTGTGCTCTTAGGCGAGTAACCTCACCTCTCTGAGCCTGGTTACTACTCCTGAAATCAGATGTGATAATAATCCCTCACCTCAAAGGACCATTAGGAGGATTAAGGAAGCGGAGGCTCTGGGCAGAGCCCCCGGCAAGAGTGCACGATCCCCCATTTCTGTTTGGAGACCATTCCTCCACAGTTGACAACCGGGTCATAAAAAAATAAATGTGCCTCGGGCCAAAGCCCGGAAGGTAACAGCCAGAAGCCAACTGCTGGGAGGCAAAGATTATTATTATTATCACTGCTGCTGGGCACTTTTAAAAAAAAAAATCAGGCTACGTTGCAAAAAAATAAATTACAGAGAAGAAGAGAATAATATGAAAGCTTTGTGATTTCAAATGGGTCCTGGTGCCCTGACTGATCTCAAATAAGTTCCATTTAAAAGCTGAAAGTGGCAGGCAGCAAGGGCACAGTGCAGGGACCAGGGGGTGGACACTGACAGCGAGCGGAGGCGCCACCGAGGGCCGGCACCACCCGCGGGTCTCGGCGCTTTCCCCCCTGAGCACCTGCTCCAGCCGACTGCCCCCCTTCCCCCTGCACCTCATCCTGTACTCTTCACCTGCACTGTTTGAGGTCTCTCCACCTTCACCTTTGCATCAGGTGCTCCCTGGAGCAGGAACGCTGGCCTCAGTGCACCTGCCCGACTTCCCTCTCACCTCCTCTGGGCAGCCTTCCTTGATATGCCTCTACCCCTGCAGCCTGGTCTCAGCCCACACACACCTCTATTCAAGCACCTCTATCATTCTGGCTTCGAATGATCTGCAATATGGCCGTGGCAGCCCCCACCTGCCTCCTAACATATGGGCTCCTTGTGCCTGAGACCCAGCTGAGTTATCTCTCTGTGCCGGTGCCTGGGATGTAACGAGATCAGTAAATATCTATTGAGGAGTGAATGTCAATGAGCTGCCGGTTACTGTCCCTGAATGAGAGCCATTGATGCCGAGGTTGAGTTTGTCCACCTACTGAGCCAGGCCCACGGCGCTGCTAATCCCATATTCAAGGACCCCAGAGGCCAGGCTGGCTGAGGAAGGAGAGCCTCAAACTCGTGAATTCCCTTCTCTGGGGTACTCTGTGCCTCCCAGCAAACGACCCCAGCTCCCAGGATGCAGGCAATGGAGCCGAAGAAACATACAAGGTCTCCACAGCCCATGCCTTTAAAGACACGGCGGGCTAAATTCAAGTGTAATTAATGCAGTTCTGCTACCGCTGCAGGAAAATTGAGAAAAGTTTGGCCAAGTTGCGGTGAGTGGGGTCCGCTCGTTCATTTATTCACTCAACAAACATTTGTGGAGCACTTGCTGTGTGCCTGGTTCAGCGCTAGGCCTTGTGAAATACATGAGCAGTGAACAGGACACAGAAGACCCTCATTTTCTTGGACCTTAGGGTGGTAGGCAGATCGATAATAAGCAAACAAAGAGTGTCAAAGACAATGAGAGATTGTTATCGAGACCACACACACACACACACACACACACACACACCCATTAAAAGGAGGTCTCTCCCTGGACAGAGGACTG